ATGAGGGTTTTTAGGGTTCTTAATCTTTTGTGGTTCTCATTTGAACCACTCCCCATATATATATATATATATATATATATATATATATATATATATATATATATATATATATATATATATATATATATATATATATATATATATATATATAATTTCCTAATTATGACTATATGATTTTTGTAGCGGTACAAACTTGTTTGCACTATTCAGAAAAAAACAATCTTTTGTTAGAACCTGCTTTAGACCGATAATGGTTCCGAGTTTTAACAAATGGTGTACGTGGAAGTTATATACCCATGTATTAGGTCTTATATTGAAATTTAAATCGATTCAGTATAATTATATATTGATTTTTTATGATGTTTCTAAAATATTGTTATTTAGTTTGTAACATCCCAATTTTTAAGACCAAAAATTTTATTTTATTTATGTTACTTGTAAAACAATTTACTGAAAAATATCATCAATATCATATCAATCAGAAACCTATAAGTCAAATATCATAAAACATGTAGTGGGATAATAATAATGTCATAGTACAATCCCAAGAATCACATGGTGCGGAAATCTGGTGTGCGTGTGATGTGCTTCTACCGTGCTGGCTCCTTCCCCTTCGCTGAAGAGGTACCCGTAAGAACAGAGCTTAGCGAGTTCCCCCATCATACCATATACCATACATAACACATACTGTCAGGAATATCTGGGTGCTCGACCTACCCTACTGAGCATACCGGCATGCTCAAACTACCACTGCTGGCATACCGAGGTGCCTAACCTACCCCTCCGGTTTATCTTCACCAATTACGGGGACTATTTCACCCCTACCACTACCACATAAAAGCATAGCATAAACATATTGTCAGGCATATCAGGGTTCCTAACCTACCCCTTGGCTCTATTGACCGGATACAGGGACTATCCCCCCTACTTTACTAACACATAACATCATATCATATTATCACATAATCATAACAGATAGCAACATACCGGATGATTATCACAAAGACAATCATCTCTACTATAACCCTTACTAGTGGGTCGTCCATGGTACCTTAGGCCCATTTCTACTAGAAGGAAACTCACCTCGTAAAACTACGTGTCGAATCTCACAGAAGTAGTCTCTAACAGTTGCTTCGATGACTATCGGCTATCATAATCGCATTAACACTCAATCAGAGTCTAAAACACAATTTAGGGTAAAAATAACCATTTTACCCCCTTGGTCCAAATTGGAACATTCATAAGGCCCAATTTTATCTTATAAAATTGAACGCACCCATGCCACCTCAAGACTCCCTAAGGCCCACTAATGGCCCAATTTTCTAAATTGGGACCAACCCTTCAAATGAGCCTTATTAAAATTCTCAGAAGTCCTTAGCCGAAATGAAATAATCTTAAATGGCCCAATATGACACAAAAGGGCCAATGCTTCTAATTCCAAATTCCAAGGCTTGAAACTATTCTCTACAGTGGAACATTAGGCCCAACAGTCCATACCCATTCCTTTAAGTCCCAAAAGCCCAATATGACCACTCTGCATGTGTACGTGCATCGTACCTGGCATGTATGCCCAACGTACGCTGGCCTTGACCAAAACGAGGACTTGACTCAATACGTGCGGCGTATCAGAGAGTACGCCCAACGTACTGACCAGTTTCCTTAGGGCTTCATTCATGGCTTAATCCAGTAAGCCCTTATGTCCAAACTATAGATCCAGTCCCCTTAAGACCTTGTAACCCATAAAGTCATAACCTTTATGTGCTTGCATGCATGTTTGGTTCTCAATACATGATTTTGGTCCTTTAACAAGCTCAATGGACATCAAACACTTGCATGGTTGTGGCTTAACCATCAAGGTTCGATTTTTATGACCTTAGGTGCCTTTATGAGCCCAAAAGGACAACTCTTAGGCTCTGAAATCGTAAAGATGCCATAAGCCTCAACAATAAAGTCCAAAAGTGACCTTAAACACCTCCATAAACAAATCTAAGCATACAATGGCCAAGTATGGAACTTGATACCTCAAAGGAGTCAGAAATGATGTTAATCCTCTGGATCTACAAGCTCTTGGTGGATCCTTGCTTCTTCTTCAAGCTTCTTTCTTCCCTTCTCACTAACACAACCCATAAACACTCTCAAATGGCTTGTAAAACACAAAGGCACACAATAATGAGCTAGGGTTTTCATGGTGGCTGGCTATGGATGAAGGGATGCTAAACAAACAGGGGTTATGTTCCTTATATAGGGAGTAAACCCTGAATTTTATGGTTTAAGGAGTTGCGCACATACGATGGGCGTACTCCTGGTACGCTAGGCATACATGCATGGCCTCTGCGGTTCACTCTTACAAGTATGCTGGGCGTACATGGCAATGTACGTCCCACGTAAGCCCACTTATAAAGCATAAACCAAACCACACTTCAATTAATATGATTTATAATAATAATACCTGGAAAATCCCGGATGTTAAATAGTTGTTCAGAAAACAATGCCAGATTGTCTTAGGACCTATGGTTTTGGTAAACATCAAAACTTGGAATTGGAATTGGTTCTTATCTTTCCTTATAATTTTTAATTGAACTAATTTAATATTGTATAGATTTAGTATGAGGTCTACAAAATAGTGTCGTAAATTTGGTCGAATTAACACTCAATGATATGTTGACTAGATGTATAAAATTAAATCATAATTGTAAGATATATATGAAGTGATCGTTTTTTTCTTCAAAAAAAAATACATTAAAGAGATATAAGGGACTCTAACATATATAAGTTGATATATGACCACGTGACATCAATGTGAGAGTTCCTAAATAAAATCAAACGAATCATGAAAAGTAATATTATGGTCGAAGATAGTTAGACATGATTTTGCAACATAAAAATAGTTAGTGGTGTTATATGTGTAGGGACTAAGATACATAAAAGTAGGAAAATAACAAAATGGCTTAGGTCCCTAAAATTTGATAGTCAAATGTCCGTAGGATGCATTCTCACACAAAACTTCAATGAAACCAACAAAGATATTCAAAAGAATGAATAGAACAAAACGAATTAGGTCCCAAAAAATTTCTTTTCGGTCACCCACATGATGCATGCTCGCACATAAGTTCAGTGAAACTAAGCAAATTTGGTTTCCACCTGAAGAGTGTTACGATTGATTATGAACATAAATGATATTATGAAAGCAGTCAGGAACACAAGATCTAAATATGATCTGGTTGGCTCACATATTAGTTTGAAAGAGTACAAGGGTTCAAAAGTACAAGATGCAGAATTACGCTCAAGAACCCTAGTCCACTCTATGTACATATCTTATTTAAAGGATACAATCAGACTTACAAAAAATTACAAGGACTAAACATTCAAGTATCGAAACTAATATGCCTTGTAAAATAAATAGAGTGTCGAAGTCATGCTATTTTCGACACCTTACAGATTCTGACTACTTCAACTCCTCATTATACACATTCAACCCCAACAATCTCCCTATTAGTTAGAGTAGTTGAAATTAAGCAATCATCTTCATAGTCTGTAGAAGCTCCCTTTTGAATTCCATATAACACGAAAAAATCTTCCTAATCTCATCTTTATCCTCATCGTCATTTTTTTGTAGTTGTTGATTCAGATCAAGATGTTGTGAAATGGGAAATTATGTATCTCTCCAGGTCAATGATTTGAAACAAGAGTTTTGTCAATGTCCCTTTCATTTTCTTTCCGTGGAACACAAGACCATTTGGCTGGTGAATGATTTCTCCGTCTTCATACTCATTTATGTTCAACTTTTCCTTTGCCAGGTTTTGAGGCACTTTTGAAAACTTCTTTATTGCCATAGTTAGATCAATATTTGTAATTGCCAGATATTCATAGTAGCATTCCAGGAAAAGACTTGACATGACCAAATCCGATGATAAAATCATTTCGATTCACCTTTGGGATCTTCGATACATAAGCATTAATCAAAATCTTGGTGGTTGAAATAAGATCATTCAGGTTCATCAAAGGAAAGTCAGGAATTGTGAACTCGAACTCCATATTATTAGCTCTTACAACTGAATATATAAAATTTTGAAGCAGACCCTTGATATTTTCACTGATAACTATACATCATCTTCATTTCTCGCCAAGATAAATGAAAATGAATCTTCAAGTTTCTATATTCATTTTTATATTTGAAGTTATCTGCTACTTTGAATTGTGGAGATGTGAACAACATGTGATTGATTGGAAAATCAAGTTGATTGAAGTCCGAATTTTCAGTTCCAAAACTCTTCTTAGGCCTTTTAAGAAATTTGTCATTTTTCCCTAATACTGCAATTTTAATCGTTTCATAACACCAATGCTTTTTTGGGTCACCTTTGTTTAGGCCTGGAGGATCATTCTCCCACTGTCGAAGTATGATGTTGATTTGCCTTTGACGTTCTAGTTCAACAGCTTGTTGCTTCTTCTTTTCTTCATTCAATTATTCAATCATGATAACTTTCCCTTTGTCTTTTGGATCAGTTGCCAAAGTTGTTTAACAAGAGCTTTACTCGAACCTCATTCTCCTTCTTTAATCAAAATTCCTTTTGATGGAGCTTTCGACACATTCATTATTGAAGTCATTTTTGTTGAAGAAAAAATTATTAGCTTCATGGGAATTTAACTTGGAATCTGAGTCAAAATGACCTTCCCAACCACTACTCCTTTTTCACTATCAGAGTCTTTTAAATATCCAACTCCTCTATCTCCCCCTTACGAGATTTTCACAACACAAGGAGCATTAATTAATGAACGAAGTACCAAATTTTAGATTGGAGCAAGTTTAGTCTTGATGTTCGACTCAATAGTTGAAACCATATGTGATAAGGATTCTGGAGAGATAGTGGATTCATTTGAAAGATCCACCGTGGACAAGGTTTCTTTAATTTTAGAGAGTAATTCCTTCATTGTTTTGAACACTCGAACGTCCTAATCAAACTTGGCTTCCAACTGTTTGGTGTACTCGTTATTGATTTCGACTAAACGAGTGATGGCACCAGTAATACCATCGACTTTGTCTTGAAGAAACTTATTATTATTATTATCTTCAATTTTTTAATTTCTTTTGTCATCAAGGATTTTAGCTCAACAACCTTGACATCAAGAGGCTCCTTCGTTTCATTGAGTGATTCCATGAAAATGTCATGACGAGCCTTATCATTATCATGAAGACTCTGTATTTTGTAATCATAGGTTTTTGAATGAAAGGCTAAAAGTTCTGCTTGTTTCTGCTCAATATCCGCTATCAAGTTTCGTAACTGAGATTCTTGAGCTTTCATCAAGTAATCCATTTCTGTTCCAGTCACATAATGCTTTCCTTCATTATCTGCTACAATTTGAAAAAGAGAATTCATCTTTGAGTTGAGTATTTTGAATTGTTTACCTGACATGATTAGATCATCAAAGATATCTTCTTCTTCTGGGTTAAATTGAATTTTAGCAAATGAAACCATAACATCTTCATCATCATGTTTGTTTTATTGAAGTGATTTCTCTGTAGATTGGGATGTGAAAAGTGTGGTGATAGGTTCTTACATGACACTAAAAAATGTTGGTGAGATAGTCGAAGCTGGAATAGAAGTAGGTGTGGGATATGTAGGTGGTGGTAAAACTGTTGAAATTGGAATGAAAGTTTTGGCATTAGATTTGTCATTGAATATCCCTTCACCCATGTTGACATTTGTGTTCTTATTAGATAAGTTCACAGTGACGTCTGGAGTTCCGACCTCCTCCTAACCGGACTCGGTATTCGAAACCCTGGATGGTTTGACAATAGCCTTCTTAGGGATATTGGTGTTTTGTTGATCACTCGAATTGATGTTTGTATCAATATTATATATGTTTACATTGATATCAGAATCCCTTTTCTCCTCGGGATTCAACTCGACATGGGAATCCCTTTGAGGTGAACCAATAAAAGAATCCTTGATGTGAACATCAAACCTTTTGCTACCACTATCATGCTCGGTTTCAAATGTCACATAGTCAAGTGGAACTTTAACTTGAAGTTTCTTCTTGTTTAACTTTTGGGCCATATTAATAGTTCGATGCTTCTTGAAGGTTGGTGATCTGGGAATCAAAACTTCATGACATAGAACACCCTTCATGGTAAATTATGGCTTTCGAAACTTCTTTGGACCATCCTTAGAAGAAACAGGATTTGAAGATTCGATATCCTTGGGCGCAACACTTTTGACTACACGTTCTTGAGTAATTGTCTTGATTGGAGATTCATAAGGATTATTGACTGGTTTCTAAATTCATTTAAGAACATAGTTGATGGTTTTTCTATTTTTTCTTCTTCTTTGGATCCTTTGAGCATTTAGATGTACCTTTTACCCCCTTTGGTGGAAGAACCCCTGTTCAATTAGAAGAATCAATACGAGGCCAAGTATTGCACCAACAACTGATTTTTGGGATCCACGAGCTTGAGCGTCGAATCTGGAATACAAGAAGCTTTTGTAGAAACATTAGCCTCATCCAAAAATTTTGTGGGGCAGCCACTATTAGAAATTTGACAGTTTCAAAACCATATGGAACAAGAATGTTCTCTTGATTATAAACCTCCTGTAGAATTAAGCTCCAAAATCAAGCACTCAACACACCAATTGTTAGCTTCATATGAGAGATCGAAGTTCCAAACTCCTCCTACAGATGTGAAGCATAATCTAGATTCAAACCATAGTACAATCCTCCTATGACTGAGTATACTTTAATCTTAGCTTTGTTAAGCCCAGAGCTTCTTCATGTTAAACCCCTTAGTACAATCCCAAATAAAAAGTTCCAAACACAGGGAATAATAGACTTCTTAAACTGACTGATAGCAGTTAAGTTAGGTTGATAGCCCCAATGCGTTGAATATATGAATCACTTGATCATTTGTAACTTCATAGAAAGTGCCTGATGTTTTAATTTAAGAATTTAGGCAAACTACTTTTGAGTGAACCTCTTTGTTTTTGAATTCGAGAGTTGGAACGTAACCACCTTAGTAGTTTTGTTGCACACCGTGGTTTAAGCATCAAGTGAAATACATTCCATTGGTATTACAAATGATGAGGAAAGTGCAAACAAGAGTATAGAGTTATTCAAAGCTTGAACAAGCTTCCATAGTTCCTACAGGTATGGTTCAAAGGGATGGAAGTAGACGAAGATTAGTGGTTTGGATCTTTATCATCGGTTGCGAGACTTCTTCATCATTAGTAGTTGGTGGATCAATATTATGATGAGAAACAACCATTGTAGAGAATTTTTGAGAAATGTAGAAACGATGAACAGTTAGGGTTCTTGGAGATTTGATTAGAGAGCATAAAGTTTGATAAGGAAATAATCATCTTCCTTTTATAATAGGTGTTATTTTGAATTTGAACCAATATTAAAAAATGCCACGTATTATGTTGGTTACTTAACCGGCACCATAAAAAAAACTCCACATCATAAAGGTGATCAACATATTCTCCTTGATTCCCATGAAAATGTTGAATCATCACTTCCATCGGATCTTTCGTGTTTCCCAACGGGATAAGAAGCATCACAAGTTTTGCTCCTCAAACAAGTACGCCATGTGATTCGACACCAAGGGAAGACCAATCCTTCAACATGGAGGCCTGGCTCATTTGCTTTTCGGATTTGAAAGCGAAATCATATGCCAAACTTTGAAAAATCTAAGTTTCGAGTTGGTAATACCCAAAAGCTCAGGATTTCAGTGCTTTCATGTGCCAAAGAATGAGATAGAAGCAATTAAAACAAAATGTGGAATAGTGATATTAAATTTCATTTCCTGAGAAAAGATCTCTTCATTTGACATCAAGAGAGACGAAGAATTGCTTGTGTGGTATCCCGTGAATTACAATCAAATACTCATTGATGAGCATCGAATGGCTTCTTTTGATTTGGTTTCGAGGCAGGTTTAATTTTACACAAAGTCAGAACTTAACATAAGTGTGATTCAATTGAGCAAAATTACGTGGATGAATAGTGTATTCAAGAACAAGTTTGGTTGGTAATGATTATAAGTGACAAAAGTTTAGAAAAGATATCTAGATGGAAATCTCATTCCAAAATAAATTAAAATAATGGATCTTTTTGGGAAAAACATCTTGGTGTTAGAACATTTTATCATGATCACTCAATTCGAATGTAATGAGATTTTGAATATCGAAATGGTACAGGGAAACAATTGTTCATGAATATCTTGAACAATGTTTTTCACAGTCAATTATTTGATAGTTAGGTTCGTTGGGTTTCACCATCATCACGGAAGAATGAGTCAGGATCATAAACACAGATTTTTGACATATTTACATTCTCGTAGGTTTCGACTGGTGATGTCGAGGATATGTAGTGTAGCGTGTGATTATAAAAGAAATTTTGGTGAAAGAACTAATGGTACCTCTTCAAAAAATTTGTAACAAGCAGAAAACTCTCAACTCATCATGAGAAGACTAAGGTAGCTCACTAACTAATGTGAATACAAATTGATTGGGAAGAAAATTTCGTGTGAAAGATTTCATTAAGGCTTCGAACACATAGAGTCTCTGAGGCTTAGATGATAACATACAACAACATGCTTCTAGGGACACTTACCTAGTACATAATTCTGAGTAATCCATGTGAAATAGCATCATGTTATTACAATGAGACTTCAACGACTTTTGCATTTTTGGATTTATCAAAAAATAAATTAAGAAAATCTTTTTTGATTTTTGATTGTTGAAAAAATAGAAAAAAATAAGAAAATCTTTTTGGATTTTAGATTTCTGAAAAAATAGAAACAAAAAAAAAATATATATATATTTTTCGATTTTTGATTTTTGAAAAAACAGCAAAAACCAAAATAAACTAACTTAAAAATATTACGTAGATGTATTCGACTCATGGTCTAGCAGTTAAAAATAAGTTGAGCATCAATATCCTCTCAACAGATGCGAATTAGAATCCTGCACTGAACGATTTAGAAGGAAGTCAAATGTGAAGCCAGTCGAACGTTGAACATGAACAGTAACTTCTGAATAGAACACAAACTGTCGAAAGTGAGTTAAAGCACACATAAAAGATACCTACTAATTGAAAGTAGCAATACCAATAGAAATTAAGGTAAAACTTATGCTCATGTCAGATTCAAACAGAATGAGGAACAAAACATGATTCCATCATACCCAGACCATTCAAAATCCTTAAAGATGATTTTTCATATAAAGGTTTTGTGAAAATGTCAGCGAGTTGATCTGTTGTTTTGACAAAATGGACTTCAATGTTTCCATCTTCAACATGGCCTTTGATAAAATGATAACGAAGAGAAATATGTTTCGTTTTTTAGTGTTGAACCGAATTATGACAAATGCAAATTGCCTTTGGGAATCACAATACAAAGGTATTTTCTTCATGTTGATGTCATAGTCATGTAATTGACTTTGAATCCAAATTACTTGTGATGCGCACGCCGTAACACGAACGTATTTTGCCTCAGCAGTCAAAATAGAAACACAAGTTTGCTTTTTCGATTAACAACTGATAAGTTTCCCGTCCAAATATTGAAATCCTCCGGTTGTGATATTTCGATCCAATTGACATCCACCCATGTCTGCATCAAAAAATGCTTGGATAAAAAAAAATACTATCTTCGAAGGATACCATAACCCTAATGAAATTGTTCCTTTGAGGTATCGAAATATATTCTTTACCACAAAAAGATGGGTTTCTCTTGGATTCGATTGGTACATGGCATAATTACACAAAGCAAACATAATATCAGGTCGTCTTGTAGTTAAATAAAATAGTGGAATGATCATGCTTCTAAACATCGTTAAATCTACAACAAGCTTATCCAACAAAGAACTTAGGTGCATGCCAACTACCATAGGTACTTTGACTTTTGTGTTATTCATTATGCCAAAAAGTTCAAGCAGATTTCGAGTGTATTTCTCTTGATTGATAAAAATTCCTTCCCTGCTTTGATGAATATTCAACCCAAAAAGTGATTAATTTTACCTATTATACTCATTTCGAATTGAATTTATTTAGTTCCTCAAATTCCTTAGACAATGAAGGATCAGTCGAACCAGAGATAATGTCATCGACACAAATTTGAACGAGCATCAGATGATCCCCTACTTTCTTTCAAAATAAAGTAGGATCAATTGATCCTTGTTTGAATTTAGCTATTTTCACAAAATTTATAAAAAGTTGCATACCAGGCACGAGGTGCTTCTTTCACCCCATAGACTGCCTTGTCTAAAATATAACAATGATCAGGATACTTATCGTTAATGAAACCTAGTGGTTGTTCGACATACACTGTCTTTGAAACAGTCATTTGTTAATGATAAGTATCATGATCATTGTTATATAACAGTCACGAGGTGGTTCATTAACGAAGGACTGATCATTGTTATATAACAGGCACGAGGTTGTTCAACATAATGAAACCTGGTGGTTGTTCGACATACACTGTCTT